GCACACACGCAAGAAAAAAAAAACATTAAAAAAAAAAAAAAAAAAAAAAAAAAAGGCTGGGTTCAATCCTTAGCACCACAAACAAACAAACCAACAAACCAAAAAACCAGCATAAAGTTATACATTACTTTGTAAATTACAACTGTAATAAGGGAGAAAAGAGAGAACAGGAGAGAAAATAGGAAGAAAGATATTGCCTCAATGAGGAAAAACGTAGGCAAAAAGCCAGGTCAAGGAAGGTTTTGTAGGCCATAGAAATCTGGACTTTATCTAATGGTAACAGGAGGCCACCGAAGGATTTTAAACAAGAAGTGATATGGCAATGTCTGTAGTTATAGAAAAATCACGTTAGATGGCTGTATGGAGAACAGAACAGAAGGGAGCCATATTGGATATGAAAGGGTCAGAAGTATATGTAGGTGATAGAATATAGTGGTTTGATTCAGGGTGGCAGCAGTATTAATTGAGAGAAGTAGAAAATTATGAAACAAGTTAAGAGACCTAGCAATGGAATGCACATGGATTATAAGAAAGAAAAAGGTGCTAAGCGTGGCTACAAGGATCCTATCATGATCCAGTGACTAGATGGTAGTGCTAATTGTTTAGATAGTGGATACAGGAGGATAGGCAAATTTGGAGAAGAACATAAATCTACATCAGGTTATGCTGGTACCACAATATTTCTGTGATGTAAAATAGGTAGATATAGAGTTTAAAGCTCAGAGGTTCTGAACTGGAGAAATAAATCTATAAGTCATAGTGTATAGACGACATTTGAAGTCAGGGATATAACCTAACATCGCCTACAGAGATCTTATAAAGTCAGAAGAGGAGAAAAAAGATGAGATTGAATAAGGAATGTCAACATTTAAAGGTCAGACAGTAGAGTACAGGACAGTATTTAGGAATGAATGAACAAAACCACAGATTGCTTTAACTAGATAAACTAGATCTGGAATTCACAAATAGGCTTCTTTAGCTGTTCCTCACTAACTTCGGCCAAAATCATTTTTAAAAAATCATTTGATTTAAAATTAAATTAAAATATCCATATATAAGTTCATTGGTTAGAATTCTTTAGTTTTTTTATAAAAAGAAATAAGAATGAAACTACTTACTTTGTAGTAGTGAAATAAATGTAAATGACACTTTAACATTAGTGTCTAAATTTTATCTTCAAAAGCATAGAAGTGATAAGTGAAAATAAAATGGAAAGGATGTTTTTTATAAATAATTATGAAACAAAGGGAGGGCAGGGACAAGGGGAAAAAAATGAGAAAAAAGACCTGTCATGTAGAGGTACAAGATCCCAACAATGAATGTAACTGTACTGCATCCCTAAAATGTACCAATAAACTCAATTAAAGCTGAAAAAAAATTATGAAACAAAACATTGTGTGGGTTAAGGCACTAAGTTAGTATGAGGCTACCATATGAGATCTGTCTTGGGCCTATTATGTCTGAGGAACAGATTTTCTTTCATTCATAAGTATCCTTTTTAAGTTATAAAAATAATACAAAAATACATACCTATTGTAGAAATCACACTAAGGAATTAGAAAATCCACCTGTATTCTACCAGTCATACATTACTATTGTTAATGCTATAGTGACTTTTCTTCCAGTCTTCTGTCCTGTACATACAGATATGCGTACAAGTGTATGCACACACACAGCTTTAAAAAATTAACAAGGGTTTTTTAAAAATGTAAAATAAATTATGAAAACTTCATTTTTTTTTTTGGTACTAGAGGTTGAACCCAAGACCTTCACACTGAGCTACTGGCCCCTCCTTTATTTTCATTTTTGAGATAGGATATCATTCCGTTGTTAAATTGTCCAGGCTGGGCTTGAACTTGCGATCTTCCTGTCTCAGCCTTTCGGAATGCTTGGATTACAGTCATGTACCACTACACTACACCTGGGTGAAAACATCACAGTCTGAAGTGTATAGATGAATGAATTATTACACAGTGATTATTACTGCAACTATTAATGAAGTCAAGAAATAGAATACTAATAACACCCTATGCACAATCTTTTTGAGGTAGGCAATTTGATTGCTTCAAGAAAATAAGTTAAACATATAGTTGTTTGGATAGAATGAATGCATACAGGTTAAATGATCATAACTGCAGAAATATCTCAATCTCTTAAAATACAATAAAATAACACAGTAGAGGAAAGAGGTTACTTTGCTGACAACAGTGATGAAAAAGATCATTTTAAGGAAGAATAATGTACAATTACCGTTCACTTGGTTGATTTCTGAGTTGGAGGAAAGAATCTCATCTGCCAGTCTCTGTGCAGTAGGAAGAACTTCGGTGTGGTGTGCTGTGATTAAATACTGAATAAACTTCTGTAGCTGGTCCCTATTCATCTGGAAAAGAGTTTCCGAGATAGGAAGACGTAATTTGACTTGGTCTGGTTTACGGATTCTGTACAGTGAGAGTGCTACCACATGTGCACAGTAGAATATGTCCTTATTTCCACAGCCACATGTCACTGAAGTGATTTTGCATCGATCAAAACTGATAGCAACTTTGTAAGTCATTGATGGTTCAGAAGCAGTGGCTGGCTCAGTTACCGTGCCACTCAGATGGAAACCTAAGGAAATAAAGAAGAAACCCTGCTTAAAGATTCTGTAGTAAGAAACTTTAGAAGGTACCATTTGTGTTTTAATTAATCAACTTACTGAGATAATTAATTGTCCCATTAATTAGACAATTTACTGAGTATCTCCTAAGTAAGTAATAGGCTCTGCTACAGACACAAAGGCCAATGCAATTCTGACATTGCTCTGAAGGAATATACAATTTAGAAAAGGAGTATTTATCTTGGAGTCCATGACCCTCTTGAACTAATATGAAAACTTTTTCTTATACACATGTGCATTTTTCTGGGGGGAATAGTTCATCATAGTCTCAGAATGGCTAATAAGGAAATTCCAAATAATTAAGAACTCCTGTAATAGATTTTGGGCTTGGAGTAGAAGGCAAAGATAAGCCCATAAATAACATCAGTATAATGTAGAGTAAAGTAATATTATAAATGAAAGAGAAACCAAAAGAATGCCATTAGAAATGACAGAATCAAGATCAAGACTACCATTTCTTCCTTAAAACATACAATTCCATCTGGGCATCGTGGCATACACCCATAATCCCAGCACTTGGGAGGCTGAGGCAGAAGGATTGCTGCGAGTTGGAGGCGAGCCTGGGCTACAAAGTGAGTTTAAGGCCATCCTGCACTAAATAGTGAAATTCTGTCTCAGAAAACAAACAAACAACAAAACAAAACAACCCCCCCCCAAAAAAAATCCCCAAAACAATAGTCACAAAAACCACCCCCTCAAAAACACAATTCCAAAATGTTGACCATATTGAATATCTCAAAGGCAAGAAACCTAAGATATGGAAGGCAGAGCCTGATGCAATGAGTCTATGCAGAGTTCCATCTCTACTCACTATACACACAGCAACAATAATTCTGAAATGTAGACGGAATGCATTAAATTTCACCTAAATAGAAAAAACATCAAATTAACAGCAAATCCATTCTATAATATTATTTATTCTTTAAATATGATTTATCTCATTTGATAAGAATATACATTCATCTAATGAGCTCTTCAGTGAAAGTTTAATGAGGCATTAAATATAGGACTGCTAGATCTAGGGATGCTAAACAAAGAAAATAGTAGGAGAGGAGCCGGGAATTTAGCTTAGTGGCACTGTGCCTGCCTTGCAAGCACAAGGTCCTCAGTTTGATTCCCAGTATCAAAAAAAAAAAAAAAAGTGGGAGAATATTAAATGCTAAGTATCTACTACATATTGGAACTGCATTTATTTATGTATTTTAATTTTTTTGTTTGTTTTTTTGAGAGAGGGTTTCGCTATGTAGTATAGGGTGCCCTTGAACTCACTGTTCAGTCCAAGCTGGCCTCAAACTCATAGTGATCCTCCTGCCTCAGCATCCCAAATGCTATGATCACAGATACCTACCAGCATGCCTCGCTCTACTGTGTGCATTTAATATCATCTCAACAACCTTAAGAAGTCAGTATTAATTTTCTTACTTTAAAGACATGGAATCCGAGGCTCAGAAAGATTAAGTAATTTTCAAAGGACCTAGCAAGCAATAGACCTGGGGTTTGGAACAAGGTCTGACCCACTTCATGGCTCATTTACTTTTTATTATATGCACTATCTCTAATAGATGCCATAAGAGAGTCCTTATCCTCAAAATTCAGACATATAGGTAAATGATTACAATGTGATATGCCAAATGCTCCAGAGATAGTAACAAAGGTGAGGCTAATTTCAGAGATTTTTTTAACTGGACCACAGGAAAGAAATTTTAAATAATACTTATTTTTTGGACAAATATAAAAGGTATATATGTAAGTTTCAGAGCTACCACTGTGATAGGGGAGAATCTGAAAAGGAAGAGGAAGTTTTCCAAAGTTCAAGATTCATACAATTATGGTTAGTTAAAATAACAGTAAGTCTCAAAATTTATAAGCATTCTCATAAAACCCAGCAAAATTATCAGTACTAAAGGCATATTTAGGTCTAGTTCCAAGAAAGATGCATATTATTGAAAAATTAAGCTTAATTTCCAGAGTAAGAAAAATAAGTAAATTTGATAACTTTATAGCTTCCAAGTATATTTTTATGACATTGAGACTTTTTCTCAGCTAGGTTGCAGGTTTAAAGATATTCACTGTTATCTGTCCAAAGCAAAGCCAAAATAAAAAAATGACTAAGTAGATAAAAGTAAAGACTGTCTTCACTTAACAACTAAGGATGATAGCTGCAAGGTTGAGAAGCTGTTCCTTTTAATTGTATACCCAACAGACATGGCCAACAAAGTAGGAACAGCAGATAGCATGCAACACAAAATTTAGGCAGCCAGATGAGTTATTTTCTATGTAATACTGAGGCCACTCTGAGCCTCAGCTTCCTTCTCAGTAAAGTAAGAATAATAATACTCACTTTGCCTGAAAACACTTTGTAAAACTGTACGATGTCCCACAGATTTATTATCATTGTTTTTATGCAGTTTTTGTTAATGAGTCTCCACGTCAATGGAATCAGGGACAACTTCCCCAATGGCCAAGTTTCATAGTGGTTGAAAATGAGGTACTAAGAAAGCATATTCTTTTCTGGGGGGGGTACCAGGAGTCAAACTCAGGACCTTGTACTTGTGAGGCAGGCAGTGGCACCACTGAACTAACTCCCCAGCCAAAGAAAGCATACTCTTAATTTCCCTCTGAACACTGATTCAGAGAGAGAGAGAGAGAGAGAGAGAGACAGAGAGAGAGACAGAGAGAGAGACAGAGAGAGAGAGAAAGCGCTACTGAGGATTGAACCCAGGGTCTTTGCACTGAGCTACAATACCATACCTTTTTTTAAAATTTTGAGGCAGGGTCTTGCTAAGCTCTAAATTTCCCCAAGCTGGGCTCTAGTTTGTGATCCTCCTTCCTCAGCCTCCCAGAGGCCTGGGATTATAGGCATCCACCACCATGTTTGGCAATCATTTAGTACATTCTTGAAAAATGTCTTAAATCTTGATGAAGAGACCATGCATGAGGGCTATATTAAAACTCCAAATAAGATGATATCAATGTTAAAAAAGCTTAGGGTCTAAGCTTTTTAGTCTAAAATGTGAGATGAAGTAAAATATTTCTACTTCATCACTTCAATACTCTGGGTCAACTTGTCCTGAAGCAACCTCTAAGTCCAATTTTTCTCCCTCCTTTCCTGAATGAAAATGAGTAAGAATATTGGTTTACTATGAAACAGAAATAATTATCAATAGACATCTTATTAGGATGTAAGCCCCACGAGGGCAGGGCTTTCTCCATGCATTGCTCATCACTACTGTGATCTGGATGAGTGCTCCTCAAAGGTCTCTCTTTTAAAGGCTTGGTCCCCAGGGTGGCACCACTGAGAGACACTGTGGACCTCCAGGAGGGGGAGCTTTATGGAAAGTCCTTGGGTGATGGTAGTAGAGGGTTGCCCTCAAGGAGATCGTGGTCTCTTGATCTCTTCCTGCTTCCTGGCTTGTGATATAACTAGTTTGTTTTACCACACACTCCTGGCACCATGTGCTGCCCTTGCTGAAGACTCAGGCCATGGGGCACTTGATCTTGGCCTGGAACCTCCAGAACAATAGACCAAAGAGGCCTGTTTTCTTTATAAATTAGTTGCCTCATGTATTTTGTTATAGTAACAAAAAGTTGACTAATTTAACCACTATTTTAAAAAAACAATCTAATTGCAGCGTGGAAAAAAGACTGGACCTCAGCTTTCATATTTTTAAAATGAGAATCTTATCTAGATGTCCATCAAGATTCAAAGTACAGATATACTGATTCTGTAGTGACTATCAATGAATTTCTTATCATGTCTGACACAGAACTTTGCCTATTATAGGTACTTAGTAAATGTTGACTGATGTACACAGCAAAGGTCTGTTACTTGGCCTTTGTGAGTTCTAGGTTCTATTCTAAATGCTTTTTATGTATTAATTTACTTATCACAAGTTTATACATTTGATAGTAGGTATATATTATTTGATTAGGCTATAGTTCCCAATTATTTAATCAGAAACTATTCTAGGTGTTGTCCCACAAATACAAAGGAGATTTGAAGAACTAAAGGAGAGATTATTTTCAACAATGGGGAGAGCCTCATCCATTTAGTTGAAGATCCTTACGAACAGAACTCAGGTTGCTATGAGAAAGAAGACATTCTTTCTCAAGACTGCCGCATCAGATCCTGCCCAGTCTATACATTCTGACTTGCTGGCTCCCACAAACACATAGGCCAATTTTTTGAAATAAATATACCCATTCTTATTCCCATTAATACTCCTCCCCCAAATCTATATATCTTCTTTTGGTTCTGTTTCTCTGAAAAATTCTGATTACTATTATTATTCACTCTTTATGTATTGAAGAAATATAAGAACAGGAAAGTTTATCTTGCTCAAAGTCACTCTGCTAGTAAGTGGCAAAGCCAGGATTCACATCCAAGCAGTCTGACTCTAAAGCTCATACTTTTTCATGATTAGACCATAATACCTCCACATAATTTTATACGGTAATCGATGGCACATTTAACTAGCTGAATTATAAACTATTCAACAACAGAACTAGGAACATTAGAAAATAATAGGTCTACTAAAATTCTAAAATTTCAATTTTAATTGCACTGGTAATGGTTTGAACCCTCTAAGTTAAGCTAGAAATGGACCAAAATGTCAAGTAGATTCCAACTGTCTCCACAGTAAGTCAATGTTAAAACAACTGAGAAATTTTCTGCAAAATACTTTTTCAATCATACATAGCTCCTCAGAGGCTTTGACTAAGGCTCACAAAGCTCTTGGGAATGTGTTCAATTAAGCTGGGTAAATGTTTGGGCTTCATCAGCTTTATTAACATTGGTATAGTTCAGGCCCCAGGTTTAGACCCATCTGAAAGTTAGAAGTCTGAGTGGCTCTGTGAAAATTTCCTTTCTGAGAGTTCCTTTTTTCCCTTTATATCTTTTAGAATGTAAACTGATAGTTAGTTTTAAATATTTGTATTGCTTGTCTTATTG